CAACTAAAAACAAATCCTCATAGTCAAAGTGAAGCTAATTATAACTCCAAAAGAGATCCAAATCTATTTAAGAGTAACTGGAACAATGATGGTTAAAAGAACTATTGCTAATGAACTGCATAGTCACCTTTTGTTTGTTGGGGTGCACCAAGATTCTTGGATGAAAATCCTTAAATATAAAGAAAAGATGGCTATAACAAGTTGATAAATTGATCCTTTTAACTTTGGCTTTATTGAACTTTTTTCTGTATGCATCTTGGTTATCTCGGAAACACAACAGTGACATCATAGAATATTGAGAATAAATAGTACTTCAGTCAGTTATGTACCATACATAATACACACTTAAGCGATCATGTATCTTTCAATACATGACCCATGAGGCAGATTTTTTCCTGCAGTAGGTTGCTATTTCTTTCTGCAGTAGACTAGTTGCCATTCAAGGCTATAAAACCTGGTCTGTCCTACTATTTAGGCATAGCTGTGGGGAGAAGATGATTCATACCTTTCCCAAGGGTATTAGCATGTAAGTGAATGTAACAGAATTCTTGGAAAGTAAGTTTTCAACTTGTAATATGAAATTTTATAAGGTTTTACTGGTCAGATTTTGGTGTACATCAATTAAAATATTCCTGTGATTATTTTTTGAAATAATTTAATTTCACTTGTTAACATTGAAAATGTTTCTGTAGGAGAAGCCGTAGATCCACACAGTGTGAAACCAAAAAGATTCAGGGAGATGTAATGGGATTGGTTTAGCCAATAGGTAATTACCATAAAGAGAGCTATAACTATAGGTAACTATAACATTGGTAACTTTGAGAGAGGGTATGTAGAACATCTATGGCTACTATGTTGGATCATCATAACAGTTTCATTATTTTAGATTCTATATATTTAACATTATGCACTAGATATACCACTCAAAGAATCTATTAAAGTATTGGGTTGCCAAATTGCTGTTAATTTAAGTAAAGAGTTTTCATTTTTTTTTTTTTTTTTTTTTTTTGACAAACTTTATCCAACAAAATGCTTATTGTTTTGTTTCACTATCTTCTACTATATTTCAGCTAAGTTACTAGAGCTTTTTTTTTTATCATTCTCAGAAAAGAGCTGCTCCAGGTGCTTTCTGGAATCTTCTATGGAATTAGAATATTTTTTAAGAAAATTTTGTAAACATCTGGAATAAATGATTATCTGAGGATTCAATATCTAGTGATGAGTGGATGAGTAAAATTTTCCAGCCAATTTTTGGCTGGTCACCAACATGTGGCCAAACATTATACTGATGGAATATTACACCTTGTCTAAATTAAATTAATTTGGGATACTTTTTGGCAATTGCTGTTGCCTTGGTTTAGTTGGGACTTGTTTGAAACAATTATTTGGAATGACCTCATAGAGAATCACCTAATCTCACTATATATACAGCATTACTGTTATGGTGAAACACACCTATTCTATAGTTAATAGACTCTCCCACCTAATATAAGTAGGAGTAGTAAGAGAAATGAGGGTCAGTTGATGTCTGAGTCGAATACGAAAGTAGTCAGAGAGCACAACAAGATTACTCTGCATGATACCTATTATATCAAGTTCCTAACGTTTTGTACGTCAAACTATTTAGGACCGAATTAGTACAAATACCAGCCTCCACTGCGAAATAACTCCACAACAATTACTTTATCATAATTGTTTTAGAAATAAAACAGTTTCATGACATTTAAGTAGCAAATGATAGATCCAGTGTTTATTTCCCATTTGGAAGCTACACATCAACACAATATAAGCTGCTGCAAATTATTTTTAATGTTTGATTTGTATATTTTGAGTATGTCAGTTATCTCCTGCATCATAGAAAGAAATGTGTATTATTCTAAAGTAATGTCAAGATTCAATTGTTGTCATCATTACTGTTTCTACTTGAACATAAGTAAGAAATCTCTAGCACAAAATGTCTCGAACCACTTTTGGCAGATTCAATCATTTCAAGTTGCTTTTTCAATTTTTTTGTGAGTTGGATTTTTAACTTAAAAGATTTATATGGTGAAAATGATGCTTATTTTTTATCAACAAAAACAGACTCGTGTTGATTTTTTTGTAAGCATGGTAGGCTAGATACACAAGACAATAAAAAGTGAGCTATTTTTTAAAAGAAATGACTTGTAACTAAAGTCTTTTAATGAGACATCTAACAACAAAAATAGAACAAACAATTTTTTTACAAATCCAATATTTTCTATCTTTATCTATAAAAGGCAGGATGTGTGTGTGTGTGTAACGAATGCATGGCCACAATTTTCGACAGATTTGCACCAAAATTTACATGGACATGCTCCAAGATAGCAGGAAGGCCAAGACTGACTTTGCATTTCCCAACTCCCATCGATAGTGGAAATAATCAATTTTTTCATGCTTCTACGGCAGTTTTCATGTAGTTTGCGGCCATTTTGTACTATCGCTGGCTGCCACGAATAGGCAGGAAGATTCTATTGGCCAACGTGAGAGCCAACAGCTGACTGACATGAATGTTAACTAGCATGCTAGCATGCAAAAAAAAAATCGCTAGCTGCATTCGTCACAAGTGGGAAAAATTTAAATCTTGGCTCATTCGTTTGCTTAAACTCAACGTTGATTCTGATTCCGCAGAACTGGGTTGGGTGTGAAAAAGTATTTTTTGTTAACATTCTTTTTTCATTCAGTTTTTCCAGTTACGAGTCCTTTTTTAAAGCTGATAGTTTTGTGTTAATTTTGTTTAGTTCTTTTTTCGTAACAGATTTAATGTTTAGTATAGAGCTTAGAAAAACTTTGCAGTGTGAGATAGGCAAGACGTAAGGCATGTAGCAACATCAGCACAGCAAAGGGCACTCCTTTAAAGGCAAGGAAGGGCAAAAATATTTTAAGTCAAGTGATAGCGATTGCTATCATACGATTTTTTAATCAAGCACGGGCAACACCGGGCCATGCTGCTAGTTATAAATAAAGCATCTAAAAAAATTTTTGCTGAAGAATGAGAAAAAATATGTGGTTGAGGATTTGTTTTAAATTTTCAAAAATATTTAGATTTAGTGAATGGAAAAAATCTTCAAGTGAAAAAATATCGGATACACTTGAAAATAAAATAGTTTTGGGGATGATATACAAAATTAAGTTCTCTATATATTGTAAATAAAATTTGTATTTTCTTTTGCAATAAATATTTATTTACAAATTTCTTACCTATTGTACCATTATTTGTTTTAACTTTTGAAAACATTTCTTATTAAATAATTCTTTTTTTTTTTTTAATTGTTAAAACATTCCTCTTAACATTTTAAATTAATTTATGCAACTTTAATTTAAATTCAAAACATTAAATATTCATATGCAGTTTCATAATTGGCCAGAATTTTAACAATATTTACAAAGCATGAAATATTTTGCTAAAATAATCTTATTTCACCAGTAATTTTTTTTTTTTAGTCAGTGTGAAATAATAATAATAACTCCCTTTACCCACTCTCTTCACATTTGGAGGACTGAGGAAAATGACAGACAGAAATTTGTGAGCATATATGAAATTTTCTTTGGACCCATGAAAACCTTGCCTTTATGGAGATTGACTGGTGAGCTGAGAAGGCAGAAAGAAAGAAATTTGCAAGCCTAAGTGAAATTGCTTTTGGACCATTGAAAACTTTGTCTTCACAGAAGTTAGCTGTTGAGCCAAGAAGAAAGAAAAAAATGTAGCAAGCCTATGTAAATTCCTTTTTGATATAAAATGAGAAAAATTAAATTAAGGAGAAAAGAGTGTTTGATGTCATCTGAAAGGTTTTATTTCTGTTCACTGTGTCCAGCATTGAAGTTTTTTACCAGTGTAAAATTACTCACCAATTATATTGTTGGCTTTTAGCCAAGCACATGGCACTTCAAAGAATTTTCTCTCAACAATCAAAGAAACTATCTCTCTTCACCTACTTTTGAATGTATGTAAGTGTTTATCCATTCTATGAGCAATAAACTCTTTTTGTTTTAAACATTTTTTAATATTGTGTCAGATCATTTAACTTGTTGTATGAACATTTACTCTTTATGACAATTCATTAAAACTACAGACTTTAAAAATTTCTGATTTATTTTCCTGAAATGACTTACTGACACAACTTCAAGTGTGTAAATTTGCAAATAAATTCATTATATTGTTTTGTTTAAATTACCCATGTGTTTCCTCATTATTATCATCCTTCATTAATCTTCTTGGTGTGGGTAAATCAACTGTTCATTTTAACCCCTAAGACAATATAATTTCAGTACTGTACATACTAGGTTATTGTTCTGTTACAAGTGCAACCAATCTATTATTTTTTCTTCTTTCTTTCTCTTCTATTCACTCATTTAGTTTAACAAACTGAATGAATCTTTTCCAGTTCAGTTATGAATTTGATAAACTGCAATTCTCATAAAATGTGGAGGTATTTTTTATTTTTATTTTTTTATTTTTATATAGTTTAAAATAAAAATAAAATGTTTTTCATGCAATCTTCATCATGTTTTTTCTTATTGATTTTAAATATTAAAAAAAAAGTCCTTATGGAAAAAATCCTTAATTATTAAGTACTATTTTGCAGAATTATTATTGCTTTTCACTTTTCAGAATAAAAAATTATTTATGAAATGTGAAGATGATCAGTTTTTAAATCATCTTTCTTAACTCTTAGATAATTCATTTTTTTATAATCTTACACGTTAACTATAAAGACCAAAATAATTTATTCTATTAAGAACCAATAATAATTTCATCTTAAGGTGTGTGTGTGTGTGTGTCCACTCCCAAAAAATTACCACTTTTTATAAGAATATTGTCATATGAAGCAAGAGTAGGTTACTTTGGAAGTAACCATGGTAATCTATAGCATTTTAGCCTTGACCAATCAAACGGTTGAACTTGTTTGGTTATTGTTTTTTCTGAAGGTTGCAGAGACCGTTGATGCTAGTTGGCCAAGGCTAATTTTATGAGTCAATGAATGGCTTTATCGATTTTCAAAGAAAGGAAGCTCTGTTGCCACCACTTCTTTTCTTCATTTCAGCAGCAGCAACGTATTTGCTATGATCACTACATTTGTAGGCGGAGAAACCAAAATTCACTTTTCTTCCGCCAGGGACAAATAGTGAATAGTATCATTAGTTTACTTACTGCTACGATCTAATTATCAACAAAAAGAAGTCAGTTTATTAAAAAAAAAAAAAAGAAGAAAAAAAAGCATTCTTCATCGTCAGTTTAAAAAATATTTATAACTTGAAGTGAACTCGTCACTTAACCATTTTCGCATTTTGTATTCATGATTTTTTGCCCTGGCGATGATAAATTGTCTGCTGTTATCATCATGTTACTTTCATTTCAATACTTCACATTTTATGGATTCTACGAACAACGATTTTTTAAAAGTCGTTTCTTCTCAGCTTTTTTTGTAAAACATTTATGTTTACTTCTCCATCCTCCTACAGGCCTCTTCTTTGTCTTTAATAAATCCAGGTAGGGTCTATAATTATCTTAAATTTTATTTACTGAGCTTTTATGTAAATTGGAGATCTGGCGGCTTTTTTGATAAATTATATTCGTAACGTTACAAAGCTTTGATTCAATTTTAATTTAGGAGAAAAGCAAAAGATCGACATTTCACTCGTGAATATATCTTCTTGCAGGTACATAACATGATTATTCTACTGATTGTCTGTTCCATTTGTTTAAGTATCACTACATATCGATTTCTCGACAATTGTAATCTTCAAAATTGTGATTGTTTCGGATTTCTTGAACTGAAATCAAAGTTTTAAAAAAAAAAAAAAAAAAACCCGCACACACACACACTTGGAGTTTGCAACTTAATGTGTGTATTCATTTTTTTTATGTTTACTTGCCACTGATTTTATTAGTCAAATAATACTGTATCTGATTTTTTGGAAATCATGTGAAAAAAGATTGAAAAAGGGCAGGGACAAAACACGAAACTTTATTTTTGCTGATGTAACAACACAACAACACCCTTTCCGTAAAAAACATGTCCGCCATTTCAGAGAAATAGCAAAAAAAAAAAAAAACTGTAACAATGATATATTTATTTTACTAAGATTTTTTGATAATCTTAAGAATAAGATGAAGATAAACGAAAATTTCACTAACTCATTTTTTTATTTTCATTATCATTTAAAAAGAAAATGTTGAGCTAAAAGTTAAAAAATTTTCTACGAGATGAATAAGCGTCGCTGAATTGCCTTCTGCTCCAGTCTTTTAGCTTGTCATTAAAAGTCAAGATGCATGCTTAAATAAATGCATATTTTTACAAATAGTGTGATATCTTTTTAATTTTCGGTCACTACATAACCTCGTACACACTTGTTTGAAAGTTGTGTATTTTAAATGAGGAACATTGCATGTATAGACTAGTTGTTTCCTTATTAATAGAAAAAAAAAGCATCTGAAATCAGTATAAAATAAATATTTTGATTTAGGCTTGCTTATAATTACCATATACTCAGAAAGATGGGCACTTCGAGGTGGTGTAATGGTTAGCAAGCTTGTCTCGCTAGAACGATTATGACTGAGTAGTGAGTTCAATCCTCACTGGGTGCCTCTTACTTTCGGCCTTGTGCCACATCCAAGCTACGCTTGGAAAATCACTATACTCAGAAAGTTGCGCAGTGTTGCAGTCCTGGTATTGTATTACCAAGGTGAGTTTTTAGGCCATCACCGTTATTAGTGGTAGTAATCTCAACTTTTTTCCAACATGGCGCTGATGCTACTGATTATACATTGATATTAAAACAAAAATAATTAAATAAAAGAAATGTTATTTGATAATACCCGAAATGCTTATCTTAAACACTTGATCGGATTTTATCACACATTCTAAAGATAATACTTTAAAAAAAAAAAAAAAGGTGTATACTGTACGATTCTTTATTTTACGCATCAATTTTTTTCTTTTTTTGTAAGGTTCAAAAATCAAAATCAAATGTTCAAAATTAGTGTTGTCATGTTTTCTTTTATTGTAATTAGAGAACCTAATTAGTTTTTGATAAATTTAAACCACAAAATTTTTTTTCTATAAACTAATTTGTTAACCATCATGTACTAAGATACTTTTAGTATTTTTTTAATTGGAAATAATTTAATGAGGGGGTGCTAAAATGTTCTCAGCTCGACTAAGTAGCCCTTAAAAAAATCTGATTCGTCATTTGATCAGATTTTGGGAAGTGTGTTGGACAGATAACTTTCAGCATCCTGTCGATTTTTTTTTTTTTTCATACACTTACTACACAATAATTCATCACAAGACACATGGAAGTCAAGAGGGACAGGAAAATTATGCATAACCTTAGCTTGAATAAATGGATGGCAGAACGAGGTTTAGGAGGAATAACGAAAAAGTCACAAAAAAAATTTATTAAGGCTAAGAGTTACAAAAAGGACGGAATTTTAGATCATGATTGCCTATGCTTTGAAGGGACACTGCACATAGAACAATAACCCATCACATTTAATTTTGCCTGGTTTCCACTCTTCTTTTCAATTCCTTCAATATTTCTATTTAAAATTTAAAGTACATGGTACTGCTAGCTACGTTTTTTCTTTTCTAATATTTCAAAACAAACTCATAAATTTTCTAACGTGAATTTCACAAATTGAAAACCGGGATTTCATGTGAGAAAATTTAGATTGTGTTTTGAAAAATTAATAACCGAAAACTTTAGCTTTTAAGTGTATACCAAACACTGGTTTATCTCCCTTACATTTCACTTAAATTTATTTATTGGAACTTAGTCTGAACTTTTTGGGGGTCTGCAAATTATTCATTGTATCTCTAAAATTATTAACACACCAAAAAAAAAAAAAAAAAATGGAAACGCTACAAAAAGTTACGAAACCAAAAAGTGATGCTAGCCTAGAATTATTCTGTATGAAGGCACTTATTCCCAGAAGTTAAAACAAGGCTATTTTTCCTGCTTTTGTGAACTTACTGGTCGAAAATATCTAATGAAATATTTGTTTGTGCATTTTTCTTAAACGAAGATCAAATTTCAATTTTTACTAATGGAAAAATTTGAAATAAATTATATTTTATTTCGGCCGCTATTTTTTTCTTTTTTTTTTTTTTTCCTTCTCCCAATGTATAACTTTTTAAATTCAAAGTGATAAGTAGGACCGAATTTTATTACATTTACAAATTTTAGAATTCAATGTTTACAAGTTTCAATTTCAGTTTTGTAGAAAAAATAGTTGAAATGTTAATTTTATACGTAATTATTCGGTTAAGTTAAGGTGATTTATTTCCAGCAATATTTTGTCCTGTGCGAGGTTGATCATTTTCGAGAAAATGAAAGTTTTAAAAAGTGGAAGCTACTGACGTGGCTCTAAAGCGGTTCACAACAATGTCAAATAGGCCTTGGCATTGTGTTCGACACTTGACATCGAATGTTCAATTTTTGCATTTACAATACATTGACTTTCCGCCTACCTTGGTAACAAATATGTATGTAATTTTAAAGTACGAAAGCCTAAAATGAAAATAAGTTTATTTTCTTGAGTTAGGGTAAATAAGTTTGTTGTGGTAGAAAAACAAAAAAAAGATCTTTATCCTTTTTTAGGTTTCCATACTTATGAACGTTATGGACGAACGAAGAACCGCATTATTAATAAGGCCTTAACTTTTGTACTTTTAGAGAGGAGGGTGCAATTTACAGCAAGCTAAACCCTTACTTATGTCCGTTTCGGTTTATATGAAAGTAACGGGTTTTTCATTTGTCCATAACGCCCATAATTTTAAAATACGGATGCCTAAAAATTAAAAGTGGTACTTCTTATCCAATGAGTCGCTAAAAAATTAGCATACGTGATGAAAAAATGCCCCAAAAAACTTTCAAAATCTTCATTTTTAAGAAGAGGAAAGACTAAAAAAAAAGGATATCTTGACCGTTAATTTTTAAAATCTTTTTTAGAACTCTTGAAATTTTGGTCGAAAATTGTTTTAATGCGTCAACGGGTAAATTGGATTTGAGCATGTTTTTGCAGTGAAAAACACATTGATTTGGAAATTCTTGCAAAAATCAAATAATTGTCAAATTTTAACAAAATATTCAGAACGTGTCCAAAAATAAATTAAATTATTTTTTAGAAAATCTTGTTTTTTTTTTTTTTTTGTTTGCATCTTTTGGTTACCTCTTTTGCCACACTTATGAAATTTCAATAAATTCATTTTTGTAGCGCTTTTTATATTAGTTTTAAATGACACATCCTTGAAGAATTTAAAATCATCAAATCTTTTTTGTCAAACAGGATCCCAGTTAGAGAAAATCATAATTATTTTTAAATTAAGGGAAGCTGCTCTTGTATTTTAAATATAAGCACTTTCTTCTTTTATGTGCTTTGTTCCTTCAGAATGTGGCCGATCATGACTACAGCTTCCTCTTATTTGTAGCTTTAAATAATGTTGGTCCTTCCGATTTCTGTCATCAAGTTAGATAGGTTACTCATTGTTTCTCTCTGCTCTTTCCTTCAATATATCTTGTGAGTGTCCTCTTTCTTAATGTTTTCAAGAAATTTCAACAGTCTCTTGATTCTCAGTTGTCTTTTTTGTTTCCATTTTCCTTAAAAATTCCTTGTTGCTCACATGCTACAACCATAGTATTCTCAGCATCATTTTGTAGAACATCTTTCATGTTTCAAGTTTCCTCTTCATCTGTGATGAAATTGTCCAGTATTCACTGGAGGATCGATATTACATGTCAGTTCAGCACTCTTTTCTTTGTTTTTATGAAATTTTCCTGTTTCTTAATACTTGTGTATCCTGTGAGCTTAAGATTTGGAGAGTATGTTTAACTATTCCAATGTCCCTTCAAATTTTTGTGTTACATTTTCTATTGTCTGTTAAAACATTTCCCAGATAGTTAACTTTCTGTTTCTTGCTTGCTGTTGATGTCCCTAATTTGTTGCTTGTCAACCTTTTGATGACCATACATTGTCTTTTTACAGCTGATGGCTAATTTTTTCTTCTTTACACTTTTCTTAAAAAAATAATTTCATTAGGGTATTAAATTACAATTTATTTTTTTAATTTATTTTAGATTAATATAGTTTTAAAAGCTTTAAGCTTTTTTATTTATTTTAGATTAATTTAGCTTTAAAAAACTATTGTAGGATTTATATATCAATAACACTGAATATAAATATTTAAAGAATCTTACTTATTATAAAACGCAGATTGTGTGTGTGTGTGTGTCTGTACGTTTATATATTGGATCAGATTTCCTACATTTTTCAACCGATTTCAACAAAACTTCACAGGACTACATAAAATTACCTTGCGGTGGTTCTAACAGCGCCAAAAATTGGAAAAACACAATTGTTTTTACATTAAATCAATTTGAAAACACGATTAAGAGGCATCATGAGAATGAAGGGGGGGACAACTCATATCGAGTTATACTTATTATAAAACCCAGGTTGTTTGTGTGTGTGTTCGTTTATATATGGGA